ATTCTGGTTCTGAAGCTAGGGGAACTGAAACACAACCGGGTTCGGAAACTAATGGAACAGATGTGTCAGCTGAGTCTGGAAGATTAACGGATTCAGAGGCTAGAGGAAACGGTATGCTAACGGACTCTGAGGCTAAGGAAACTGGATGGCTAACGAGTACCGGAGCTGGAGAAAACGGAGAGCAGGTAAATTCAGGGACTAGAGAAACAGACTTAATACAATGTTCTGGTCCTGGATCTGACTGGCGTGGAGGTCTAGCTAATTGAGGTTTGATTAATGAACCAAATCTGAGTTTATAGACTGAGGGTGCTAACTGTTGATCTGAAAGGTGGCTGATGAGGCGGAAGGAACTGACCTGGCGAGTAGATGGACTGATTACTGCTGCTGGCTGGACTACAGGGAGAATGGAGGCGTCAGACTGACCCACCGGAGAAGGAATGGAGGCATCAGGCTGAACCGCCGGAGAAGGAGTGGCTTTCTTCCCCCGGCGGAGGTTCCTACGCCTGGACGAGGCAGAAGGCAGAGGCGAACCCGCAGAAGCAGCAGATGACTGTTTGGACTTGGAGGTAGGTGGAGGTTGGTTGAATGGTAATTTAGAAAAAGCGTCCTCAATATTCCAATAAATAAGATCTAGGTATCCGGCTAGTTGAAGGTTATTGTAGAGGTCTGGATATTTCTTGAGCTCGGAGATAATGATGTCAGCAGATGATATCCGTTCACAGGGTGGAGAAATGGAGGAAAGGTCATCTTTGGACTGTTTGAAAAAAAGGAGAACTCGATTGAAGGAGTCTGAGGATGTTTCCACAGGGCTAGCTTGTTGGCCGCAGTGTTCTGCCATGATGGGTTTTAGTGCTAGCCCAAGATGCAGAAACACTCACGGAGAAACTGGGTAAAAGTTCAAATGTTTAATAAAGTTCAGACACACAGGGTATAAGCACAGGGACTGGAATGGATCAGGGGCTGGTTCACTGGAGACATGACTGGGACTGGAGACTGAAGATCAGCAGAGTTCATGTGAAGCTAAGCACTTAGCTTCAGGCTTAGCCTGGCAGTTCAAAGTTTGAGCTTCCAGCTCACAATAGGAAACGACAGGGAAAACACGAGGGAACCTTCAGGCTGAGCTTCCAGCTCAACGTAGAGAACAACAGGGGACCTTCATATGGGAACCTCTAGGAAAACTCCTCATTGAAGTCATTAGGTTCACACCATGTAGAGATCTTCGGGGTGGCTCACCAGGGCAGATAGCTGGTTAACTCACCTAGAGCTGCAAGCCAGAGACAGGTTGCCTGAGAGACAGTTCATCCAGAGCTTCACAAGGAGACAGAAGGTTAAGCCCATCCAGAGCCTTCACGAGGAGACAGGTGGTTAAGCTCATCCAGAGCTTTCACGAGGAGACTGGGGTTAAGCTCATCCTGAGCTTTCACGAAGAGACAGGAGGTTAAGTTCATCCAGAGCTTTCACGAGGAGACAGGATTCCTGTGAGGCAGAGACAAGGAAGAATTAGATTCTGATCTCACACTAGAGAAAACAAAGGATCTTCTGTAACAGAGGCTCAGGAAGCTAACCAGCTAAGATCAACACTGCGGCGTGGAATCCAGGTCTGAAAGCAGCTTAAATACTGTGGTCCTCCTGATTAGCAGATCAGCCACAGGTGTGTGAGAGGCTCAACTCAGGAGGACCCACGGCGCACTCTGCTGGAGGCAGAGGGTAATCTCCAGAATCTGACAGTGACTCCAGCCCTAAGGAAAAACAAAGAAAGCAGAAGAGGATCCTCGGCGCCCTCAGGTGGGCAAGCCTGAGGATCCCAACAGACCAATGGAAGGAGCAATGGAACGGACTGTCACTCGGATTTCCGATGGGTACTTGAATGACAAAAACACGTTAGACTCAGAGAAACAAAGCTAGATTAGACTCAGCTAAACTCAGCTTGGCTAGAGTACCCAAAACTGGCAAACACTCTGGCGTCGAGGTAGTGACAGTCCACTGCTCAAATACTCCTCCAGATAATGATCCAAACTAGCCGCAGGTGTGCAGGGAGGGACAGCGAAGACAGGGCACCTCCCGGTGAAAGGAAAAAGGAGACACACAAACTGGATTCCTAACACATATAAGCAAAACAATCTGGCATCTGCTTCATGGAACCAAGGACCTCCTGATGAGCTTCACTTTCACTGGAGCTCACCTATGCTTTTCATTTTCTTGAGAAGTCAGAGAAGAAAACTGTTTTCTGTCCATCTTGGCGAGCTGAGATTGTACATTTAGGAGAGGGGTTATTATTATTTGAGTTCATCATTGGATCGTTTGTAGAGAAAACTTTATATCAGAGTGGATAAAAATGTGAAATAATTAAATAATTTTACTATTAGCTCATGCTGCCATTAGCTTCCTGAGCTAATCTGCAGCAATATGAGCCTCTTCTCTAGTTGTTCTGTTTTAAGTAGCAAAAGAAAAATTCATACAAAGAAAAAAAAGAGATCATTGCTCATCATCAAGCTACTGTCAGGGAGATGTCCTCTCTTTATTTTTTGTTTCTTTGCATTTGCAGTTGTTTCCTGTCAGGGTTTAGTTCTTTAGTGGCTCACAGTTGTTTCCTTTCCCCTTGGCTTCCTTCACTGGAAAAACTATCTAGAAATAAGTAAAAATGTCTTAAATTACATTTGTTTATTTAATTTGAGTAGGTAGATGAGATAGTTTGCCAATGGAATTAGTATTTTTACTCTTAAAATAAGATAATTACATAATATGCCCGCGAAATAAGACAATGCAATTGTTTTTCTTATTTTAAGTTTAAATTGTCTTATTCCATTGGCAAAATGTCTGTTTTACCTCCTCAATCCAAGAACAAATACACTTATTTTAAGAAAAAATTGCTTATCTAGATTTTGATTTTTTTCCATTGTTCTAGTTAGTTCCACTCACATCTGCTCCACATTCAGCTCATTAGCCTGTCCTTTGTTTTGTTCCCCATATATACTCCACATCTGCAGTCACTCAGTGCTTGTTTGTGGTTGTTTTCCCTGACGTTTCTGATTTTTGGGTTCTTTGCATTTTGAATTTTTTGATATTTGCCTAAGTTGCTTAATTAAATCTGCAAGACACACCTCTGCCTCCTGATCTCTACATTTGGCTCCTCATAACTCTCCACTCAACCTTGACAGCTACATGTTGTAAGATGTGCAAGGTGTTAGTCGACAAATACTAAATAGGCTACTTCATACAGACATCATGTCTATCACAGATGTTCTTCATGAATTGGGATGGATAAAGGGAACGTCAGACTCATGCTCACTGAGATAGTCTTGGATGCTATGCTGGTACACAGTTTAAAAGTTAACTCTGGGGTGGTGACACATTTTCTACTGACATCAGGTGAGGCAGTGCACACCCCCTTTTAGTGTTTTTATAATGTAAGGTAACCATGATTGGGAACTATTTGTTCATTCTGTGCAGTTATTTGGCAAGAGGCTCAGCGCTGATATCTGTAACCATTTCTGTGCCTTATTTATATTTAAGAGTTAAAGTGTTTTGAGAGTCATCTCTCATGGATTTTTCCAGCACTTCTGGGGGAAAAAAAGAAAGGAAAAAACACAAAAGGGTCCAACTACAGACAATCCAAAAATAAGCAGTCCAAGAAATTATCCAAAAACTAAACTAAACCACTGCAACAAATTTTCCACCATCTAGATCAAAGCCTTTCTACCAACACCCTGGTTTTCCAACAGGCTTTTAAGAGACGTTGTTTCTGTCTAACTTTGGCACAATTTAAATCAATATTGTTAAGCTAATAGTGTCATGTTTAATGCTGTGACCAACATGCCAAGGCGGTGAGAACAGCAGCATATGAGCACACATCTCACCGTTATCTTTCCAGAAGCTGCATGCTGAAGATTATGAGGGAACCTGTCAACATGGGGTGCTAAAAATATTCTGGGTAAGGACATCCTGATAACAAACATCCATACAGACCCTTCCCACTTCGGGGATTAATAGAAGAAATATAAAGAATTTAATTTACTCAATAAACTATTAGGTTCTTCTCTGAAAAGCTGCAAAATGATGACACTCCCTAAATGACTTGGAGTCATTGTTCCTCACTTTGTTATCAGGGAATCAGTTGGTGGCTAAAAATACACTGTAGTGTACCATAAAAAAGGCTTACCTCTGCAAATCGTGTGAAAATATGATTAACCTGTATAAAGAAACAAAGAAAAATAAATATTGTTGAATTTTCTAAACATTTTTAATGTTAATTGTTTAAAAACTCTAAACATAAGTGCTTTATTACAAGTAGGGGAAGCTTCAACCCTTCTTCTATATATGTACTGTAATCATAACAAACAGTGGATATTACTTCATCTTAAGGGGAAGAAAATTAGTTTCTGGTAGCAGATTTTTTATTTTGATGTAAAATTATGAATCCAAAACAAAAACTGCTGCTCTCTGGTAAGTATTTACTGCGCTTATCTGAAATCTAAGACTAATACTTCTTATACAAAATATCTTTTGGATAGCTAACAAATAGTTTTTACTAATATAAATCAAGAAAAACTATAACTTGTTGAGATAAAAATGGATTTATAAGCAGCCATTTCAATCCAAATCAGTTTATTACCATTTATAGAAAGTATTGTAGACTATAGTTTCCTAATGTTTATAACATAATTTAACTATGTTATCGCTACAATATTTATATTTTATCATAATTCAATATCTAAAAATCTGATTTTTACAGTAAATTTCCCAAAAAATTAATGAAATACAATTTTTTAGACATCTGCTTCTATTTTATTCAGAGAAACTAAATGTTTGTAGTTAGGAAATTTAAATAAAATAATTTGTTCTCTGTAATAAAGGAGCTGGAATAAAATGATGATCCCACAACACGTATAAGTGTGCTGACACATGATGAACATGCATATGTCACTGCATGCTCACACCTTTTTGGTGCTAATCATAGCACTTTTTTTTTTTAGCACATTTGGCACAGCGTTGCACACCCACCACATCCACACATCACGTGTTAGTCAGACTCTCCTTCATCCTTGATTGATATAAAGCTTCAGTAAACATGAGATCAAATAGAAACAGGGGTCATCTGGGTAGAAAGTGGTGAGAAGTCCTGTATAAAGGTGGCAGCTGTGGAAGAGGTCAAGCCGCAGCAGCAAGCAGGTGAGTGGAAATCTACTCCTGCAAACACACGGCACACACTTTCTGCTCCTCCTCCCATGTGTTAGCTTTGTAGTAAATCCACAGGCTTTCACCACACACTCACAGTATTTTTTCATCTTCTCGCAGGCCAGCTGACCCTCCTGAGTTCATCTCTTACTCAAAATGCAAACATTTGAAGTTTTCTGCGTTCTCCTGCCACTTCTCTTTTCTGCTCATGCAGACGTTGTGGAACGTTTTGAGGTTTGTTTCCTTGTTAAAATCTTGCAAGTAAAAAAGAGTATTTGGCCTCAGGTTGTCAAAAAGCTTATGTTTTCTTATTCTTGCTGCAGGATGAACCAGAATGCTTGAAATACTTTTATAAGGATAAGGTGCCTGAATGGGGAGCCTCCACATCTGGCGCTGCCCGTCTGTGTCAGCGCTTCGTCAACAGGTAGTGACACTAGTAATAAGTTAGACTTAGACAAATTTTATTTTGTCATTTTGTACACACATGTGTAAACAAAAACAAATTTTGTTTAGTACAGCTCTCTAGACTATTTCATTTTTTGAAACTGCAGCCTTGATAAGGTAAGCAGCAGTGATAAAAACCTTTTGATGAAAAACAGTAATGTAAACATATGCGTCATGATTGGTTCTGAATCAAACCCACATGCAGAACACTACCAGGAGACAGATGAAAAGTTTAACAAAGTTTATTAAATGTTTGCACAGAAATAAGACTGCGTTCAGGAAACAGGTCCGGGCTGGATTCTCAGGCGTCTGCAGAGATGACAGTTTGGTCAACCAGGTGGATAGGAAGCGTTGTTGAGTTTTCAGATTATTGCAGATTATACCTTGGAGAGTTTCAGGATTTCTTCTCAGAGGGGGGGAACCGGTTGGGTCCAGAGACTGTTGGTTTGACAGAGTGCTCAGCAGGTGCAGCGTCTAACTTCTGACTGTTGGATCAGACCTTGGATTGAGGGGTTAGCTCTCCTTCCGAGAGCAGCAGGTGGATTCCAAAGTGAGATCTTCAGGTTTGGCTCTCTAGGGCAGGCAGGCAGATTCAGGTTAAGCTCTCCCAGAGCTTCACACGAGAGACAGGTTTTCCTAGGAGCGACAAGACAAAGACTGGTTAGAATTCAGTTTTCTCTAGGGAACAAAATTCAAAGACAAGGAGGCTCAGGTTCGCTAACCAAACTTAGCTAACACTGCGGCGTCGAAGAAAGGTCTGGCATCTGCTTAAAGGAGAATTCCGGTTTTTAACACTTTTAGCCCATTTTCTGTAGTGTCCAGGATGAAATCGAATGATCGACACCAAAATTTTGACAATTGGTCCTGTCTCTGCTTTTTGGCTCATGCAGAATCACCCCCTGGCTGCTTCAGAATGGCTTTCATAGTGCATGTCCGATAATGTCCTTAAAACAACCTTAAACTTTCTTTTTTTAAAATATGCTACTCACCGGGTCGTCAGCGCTGTTCAATGACGTTCCAAAAAAAGTTTCGTAAAGAAAAAACGTTCCTGTAGTGTTTTATTTAGCATTTTGTAAAGGTTGTTTTAAGGACATTATCGGACATGCACTATGGAAGCTATTCTGAAGCAGCCAGGGGGGGATTCTGCATGAGCCAAAAAGCAGAGACAGGACCAATTGTCAAAATTTTGGTGTCGATCATTCGATTTCATCCTGGACACTACAGAAAATGGGCTAAAAGTGTTAAAAACCGGAATTCTCCTTTAAGTAGAGGGGTCCTCTAATGGCTGACGAGCTCCTGGTGTGCTGGTGAGCTCCAGCCCAGAGAACCCACGGCGCACTCTGCTGGGGAAGGGTGGAACAACTCCAGATCCCAACAATATGACTGTGTATGACAGTTCTAACGTTTTTGTTTTTTAAAAACTGTTTCCTTTACCTTTATTTGCACAGGTATGTAAAATTACCTGCCAATATGGGGATTTTTTTTTTTGTGAGCAATTAAGCAATTCTGTTGCCTAATTAAGTAAAAGGGGAACGCCGTTTTTTTTTTACATTGGCCCCTTGATTTTACGTCATTACATCATGTTTTACTCACCCATATGACTTTTGTGTCATTTGGAGCTGTTCTGAATATATTCGGTTAGGTTATATCCAAGTAACGTCTTCCTATGGATGTCCGTAAAGCGGCATGTGTTTGACGTCATCCGCGCGCCAGCTACCATTCATTCATCCTGTCCGCTGAACTAATGCTAGTTTTACTCACATGCTTAGAAGATGTCTAGTGCTGCTACCACAGATGGTCTCGCTCTCGAAATGGAATTGAACGATTCAGATTAGCTCGTCGAATGAATAGAAGGGGTAGAGCGTAGCCGCCTGTGGCCCGGGCTGCCTGTCACAATACCAGATGACGTCATACACGTGCCCCCTTGCTTTTAAAAAATATAAATATAAAAAATATAACCGCGGATGTCTGGGGGACAGTGATTCGCCTACATGTTATGAATGCTGGCGTACCATAAATGTTAAACTGAACAGTTTAGTTTGTGCCTTCAACTCGTTGCCCATAGGAAGACGTTACTAGAATATAACCTAACGGAATATCTTCAGAACGGCTCCAAATGACAAAAAACTCATATGGGTGAGTAGAACATGATGTAATAACGTAAAATCAAGGGCCCAATGTAAAAAAAAACGCCATTCCCCTTTAAGGTTAGGGTTGTCTCCATTGTCTTGCTCTAGTTGTGCAGCGTGCTGGTTTCTCCTCTGCTGCTGCACAGTTTGTCTAACGATAGTTTTATGATCTTTGTGCTTTAAGGTTCCACTTTGCCACACTGTATGACACCAACCATCGCATTGCTGTCTACTCTGCCTACCAGTTTGAGCCCAGCAACGGAGGCGGCAGGGAGAAGAGGTGGTTTGTTGAGCCTCAGGTGACACTCAACATCACACCGTCTAAACTACCTGTTCGATATGATCAGAATATAAAGGGATGTGGGGAAACTTCCACAGAAAAGTCTGGATGTTGATCAAATTCAGCCGGTTCTTGTTTTAATTTAATCGAGAACAAACATGTTGGGGTGTAGAGTTTCTTAGGCCAAATGGTCCGTAAAAAGTTACCACTAATGAATCCCATCTTCTTTAGCTTATTTAATGGACCCTTACTTCTTACAACATTTGCACCTTATTAGTCATTAGTCATTAATATTATGATAAAATGTTTACTTCAACCGCATTTGTATGTCTTGTTTTCTATTTCTGTCCAACAAAAGATTTGCTTATGAGTGTGTGGTGATCTTGAAGGATAATTTTTTTTATTTACTTCTTGATTTATTTTACACTCTTTATTTCTCTATTTCTACATGTGTTGATGTGCTTTAGCTGGTAGATATGTCCTGGCAAGCTGAGATGAAGGACGGATATTGGCTGGGGAAGGATTTCCCAGGGGTCTACCAGGGAGAGAAACAAGCCCTCAATGAGGACTACACAAACTCTGGCTTTGACCGAGGTCACCTGAACCCTAACGGACACCATCCAGGTAGGATAGGCTGGTGCGCCATCATTGAGGCACAACAGGTGATGCTATGGCTTTAGAGGTACAAATACTTGTACCTAATGTACAGACACAATATCACTTCTTCCTTTGCTGCATACAGGTGCATACCCATTAAATTAGATTTAAAAACTGGATCTCAAAAAGAGCTTAAAACAAAACTGTAACTACACTTAATAAAAGAAAAAAAAACTACATTCAAAAAATAAATTATAATTGTCAAACCTTCACAAGTTAGACGTAATGTCCATCAATGCAAGTTTGACTTTTGAATCTTAAACAATAAAGTGTTATAGTGTATAACTGGTAGAAATTTGATTAAAAAAAAGGTAATTTTGTAGACTTAATTTTAATTAAAACCTAAACTTGATTACCCCTTGAATAGGTGAGACTGTATTTGGGGTGAAAGGCTTCTGATCATTTTGGAATATATATTTTATTAAAAGTTTTTAGTCTCTGGGGTAATGTAAGCATGCTTTATAACTGATAATTGATAAACTGATAAGCTGAACCAGCCTGTTAAATTTACCTTGATTTTTTTTGTTGTTGTTGTGAATGTAAGATTTTTTTTAATTACTTATTAATTTCATAACAATCTCCATCTTCCAGTGCCGAGCCGTAATGCTACCTTCACCTTGACCAATGTGGTCCCCCAGAACCCCAAAACGAATCAAGATGCTTGGAGGATCCATGAGTCAGACCTCACCACTCTTTTCCTTGAAAAATGCTCAAAAGCTTACGTGTTGGTTGGCGCCATCCCCTCTGCAAACAACTGGATCATCAAAAACAATGTGAAGCGTGTCAACATCCCAGACTACGTGTGGAACGCTTACTGCTGCGTGGACAACAATGACAGGCCCATCCTGAGCGGCGCTGGTACAGCAAGGAACACCGAGGAGAACTATGTTGTGAAACGTTCCCTGGATGACCTGGGGGCTTTCCTGCAGCAGTTTTCCACAGAACCAGTTGGAGAGTTGTTTTACAACAACTGCCAGGCTTAAATAACGGGCACACAAAAATCTAAATGTAATTGCTCAATATTTTTAATTTAAGATTACATATAAACATCCATTCATCCAAGTCAGAAAGGGAGAGGCAGGACACAACCCGGACAGGTTTCCACTAACAAAAATTACATTTAAAGGCAATTTGAAATTAGAGTGAGACATTTACAAAAATGCTCACCATTGGTTAAAGTAGCACAACAATAACCAAAATTGAATCATATTTGAAGAATTTATTAACAACTATATCACAAAATAAACTATTAATATTTCTGCTGTTGTGCAAATACTAAATTCGGTGCTGATTGCTAATTGAATTCTAAATTGAGGAATATTTGGCATATTTCAGACCATGCGGTGGCAGCAAAGAGCTTCAGATATGGTACACTATGTGTGGAATATCTATTATCAGCTATTGATGAGTAAAAAGATTAAATGAAAGGTAGTCTAAAAGAGGTTAAAGCTGATAAAATGATAATGCGCCCATTTTAAACATCTGTAATATTAAAATCATGATTCACAGGACTATTATGGCTGTTTATTTGTGTCCGCCTTGTTATGTGCTCCCACAAGCAGACATCAGGGATCTGGAATGATTGATACCAGTGATGCTATTGAAAATCTTTGGACACTAACAGAATTCTGAAAATGAGACACAGCTGTTACACTTTGACTCGGTGTTAATGAATTAAAACAGACACACACGGGGGTGTAGTTTTCGGTGTCTTTACTCCATTTTAGCTTGCATAGGGGCGACCCTTACAACACTGGTCCAGGGGATTATTGTACATTAACGTATATGTGTGCTGATGTCATCCTCAGTACATGACAAAAGGGACAAATCTATTTATTATGGCCTAGATCTCACTCAGCATAAGAAAATGATCCTCTATTTATTTACTTTAACTGGTCTTGATGTCACTAAGCATGATAACATTACAGGCCTGGTTCTACCATTTAAAACAGAACCTCAGATGTGGGTTAAAAAATCTCCCTAAAATGGTGCAGCAGCATAGCTGGATCATCAACATGCTGGTTGAGAAAATTAAAACATTACACTAGGGGTGATTTTTTTTTTTTTTTTTGTTAGGACTGAGCTGAATCCAAAATAGACAAGAGTATGTGAAAAATGTGATACAATTTATCACAAGCAGAGAATATTACAAAAAAGACTACAACTAGGTATACCAGGATAAAGACTGGACAAGATATTGTGGAAGTAACTAGCAGTAAACAACTAAAACCAAGGATCTTAAACCCTGTGAGGAAGGGTTGACCAGGCGAACTCAGTGTACGAGAACAGGACTGTTTGTTTAAGAAAACACAGCATTTGTATATCAAAGTTGCTTTAAGATACCACAATTCTACACTGCTATGGGCACAAATTGGAAATTTACACCACTAAAGAAAGATAAGGGTTTTTGTACTTAAAAAGTTTTTTTTATTTTTTTTAGCTTTTATCTAAAATGTTTTCACAGTTCAAAGCTAATTAAAAGGGTTGTAGCTTTTAAGCTTTTCCTAGTATGAACTATTTTGTCACTTTTATTTCACATGAATGGTGGCCTCCCCTAATGCCAGGGCGTCTCTAGTCTAGTTCATTGCGGGCGTGGTTCACTGAGAAATTATTCATCATATGCAAGAAGGTGTGAATAGGTCTAAAACTAACTGGGAATCCGGTTGAATGCTGAACTGAGTTTTTTTTTTAAGTTGAAATCAACTACAAAAACTGAAGCCCAATTGTCTTTCTTTGTTTTTTTTTTTTCATCTGGATAACGGATCATTTTCTCAATCTTCTAAGGGCCAATAAAAACTCATTGAACCCGAGAGCTTCTTTTCCTGAAACGAGTTTACCATTTTTCTCATTCTTATCTCTCCTGCACACACTAGAAAACAAAGCCTCTGCTCTAATATGTTGATACACATTGTTGTTCTGTCTGTAAGAGACGGTAGGTGGCGCTACATAGCTGAAAATCACTAATGGAAACAACCTCGGCTTGTTATGTACCAAACAACTGACTTTTCTGTACAATAAGTAGAGCAAAAGCATGATTTCTTCTCATATTTCGTACTTTCTCACTTTCTATGTTAAGATCACTGTCTGGCAGTAATTCCTATTTATTTGAAAAGAAAAACGATAGAGTAAATACTAGGAAAACAGCTAAAACACTTGGAGTTGTCTTGTTTTAACCTTTGTGCTAAGATAAAGCACACAAAAGATATGTTCTTTAGTTGATTCCACCCCCTGGACTGTACCATTTTGTAGAAAAACATTGCTCAGTTTTAGGAAATAAAACTGCGAAAAAATAATTTACTAGCATTCTTTTGTGAGTTAAAGCTGCAGTCTGTAACATTGAGAAGAGAGCAGACTTCGACTGAAAATTTGAAGAAAAACAGGTTTCACGCCACTCCCCCACCCTCTCTGCTTCACTCATGCCCCACCTCCAAGCTCCAACCCTCTCACAGCATCTGCGCGGCTACCGCATGCGACCAGAAGCGTCCAAGCAGCGTACGCGGCATGGAGTGTGAACCGGTAAGAGCGATAACACTCACTTCCAAGCAGCTAGATATAAGATGCTGGTTATATCGAAGTTTGCCGTGTAAGCAGTTGTCGGCAGGGGCAGTAAGGGCAGTTTCTCTTTCGCTGGTGGCTGTCGCTCCGCCATGACTTCCACGCGCGTCCTCCTGACTGCGGCAGCCGGGCGCTGCGGCAGGTTAAGCGGTGAGAGGGGGGGGGATTCAGCGTGTGTGAGCTGTGATTGACACTCCATCAGACGCTCCTCTGGCTGTGATTGGTTGTTTTGACTCGTCCCGAATTATTCTTTCCAGATTGAAATACAGGCAGTATGCGGGACCAATTGAAGCAGTTTTTTTCACAGGTTACATATCACATGTACTGCTGTCTGGGCATAGGGACAGTTTTAGCCAATATGACAAAAAATAAATTTTTAAAAACTTACAGACTTCAGCTTTAAGGGGGAACACTGTTTTTTTTTACATTGGCCCCTTGATTTTACGTTATTACATCATGTTCTACTCACCCATATTAGGCAAGGCAAATGTATTTGTATAGCACAATTCAGTACAAAGACAATGCAAAGTGCTTTACATGATTAAAATATAGGAAACTAAAACAGAATCAAAGCAAGTAGGAAAAATAAATAAATAAATAAAACAAAAAATGCAGAAACAAAAAAGAATCTTAAAAACAGTTGGAGTAAAGAAAACAAAAGAGTTTAACTAATGATGTTACAGTTGAACTGTTTAACTAGAACAGTCTAAGGCAATCCTAAACAAATGTGTTTTTAGTCTTGTTTTTAAAGGAACTCAGGCTTTCCGCACTTTTACAGTTTTCTGGAAGTTTGTTGCAGATAAGTGAAGCATAGGAACTAAATGCTGCTTCTCCATGTTTAGTTCTGGTTCTAGGTATGCAGAGCAGGCTGGAGCCAGAAGACCTTAGTGGTCTGGAGGGTTGATACACTGATAGCAAGTCTGTGATGTATTTAGGTGCTAAGCCATTCAGAGATTTATAGACTAACAGAAGTATTTTAAAGTCTATTCTCTGAGATACAGGGAGCCACTGTAAGGACTTTAGAACTTGGGTGATGTGCTCTACTTTCTTAGTTTTAGTGAGGACACGGGCAGCAGCGTTCTGGATCAGCTGCAGCTGTCTGATCTACTTTTTAGGCAGACCTGTGAAAACACCGTTGCAGCTCTAATATTAGTTTTGTGTCGTTTGGAGCTGTTCCGAAGATATTCGGTTTTGTAATCCAAGTAATGTCTTCCTATGGGCAATGAGTTGAAGGCGCAAATTAAACTGTTCATAATTTATTCTTTATGGTAGGCCAGCATTCATAATGTATCCCGTGCAGGACTGATGTCGTAACAGGCAGCCCAGGCCACAGGCGGCTACGCTCTACCCCTTATATTCGTTCGGCTAGCTAATCTGAATTGTTCAACTCCATTTTGAGAGCGAGATCACCTGTGGTAGTAGCACTAGACATCTTCCAGGCATGTGAGTAAAACTAGCAGCAGTTCAGCGGACAGGATGAATGAACGGTAGCCGGCGCACGCTGATGACGTCATGCACACTCCACTTTGTTTAAAAAAAAAATATATATATAAAAAGTATAAACGCGGATGTCTGGGGGACAGTGATTTGCCTACATGTTATGAATGCTTGCGTACCATAAAGAATAAATTATGAATAGTTTAGTTTGTGCCTTCAATTCGTTGCCTATAGGAAGACGTTACTTGGATATAACCTAACCGAATATCTTCAGAACAGCTCCAACTGACACAAAACTAATATGAGTGAGTAGAACATGATGTAACAATGTAAAATCAAGGGGCCAATGTAAAAAAAGAAAAAGGTGTTCCCCTTTAACTTACCAAAGAATGCAATTACATTCTTTTATTGCTGTTTTATTGCCAAAACTGGGCAATGTTTTTCCAAAAAATGGTAAATGGCCAAATGTAAAAAAAAAAAACGGTGTTCCCCTTTAATATAACAACAATGTCCACAGTATTACTATTTGCCCTTTACATAAATTTATAAATACAACACCGATCTGAACCGAAAACAGTTAAAAACTATTGCCTCCTCACAACAGCTTACCAGAATCATGGTTGACCTTAAATAATCCCATCCCCCATCAAACAATTGGAAAAGAAATTACGTCCCCTGGTGGCGATAAAGACAGGAAAGGACAAACGACTCCTACACCATCTTTAAAAATATACTCACATAGATTTGTTTATCCAATACGATACGCAAGCTTGTTTATCATTAAACATTTCTACCATTAAAATAGGAAAACAAGACAACCTAGATCTATCATCAACTAATCCATGTCACTAAGCTCTGAGTGCAATCTAGTTGGATTTCTAGGAATATCGGGCCATGGGGTGATCGATCCAGGGAGGCAGTCTGGACAGTTTCTCTTCAGTGGCTGGTTTGATGGGCCATCCCCAGGCTTTAAAGAATCCAGTCAGGTTCATCTCTGTGGCTTTGGAGAAAGTCTCGGCGTAGAGGTTCATCTTTTCTTCGTTGTGTACAGGAAAGTTCCTCATGTCATGATAGCGAGCAAACACTCTCTTAAAGACAGCCCAGCCAAACCTTTCCTGGAGCTACAAGAAGTAAAGAGTTAAGATTATGCAGATGTTTTTTGTTTTGATTGAGCAATGAGCCACACAGATAGCTCATTTAATACAATTACTAATTTACCTAGTGAATAAAATAATTTTGACTAAAACATTTTTATCAGAATGTGATTTATTGTTTGTGTTCTAACCTGCAGGTATGTCTCCAGAGCAGTCCAAACCTCCCAGTTGCTGAGCTTCCTGCCCTCTTTAACGTACTTCTCCACACGTTTCTTCCGACTCTGTGAGGTCATCTCGGGATGAGCCTGTCGATTGCAGATATGAATTATAATATATAACATTCACTGGAGGTTAAAAAGAACTAACTTCACAACATGTTTGAATTCTGTAAATTAAATTAAATAAATTATTAATATTGTTTAATT